TACAGATGGGCGGTGACTCCCAACACGCAAACTACCAGACTCGGCTTCACCTGGCCAGGCGCACTGAGAGTAATGAATATGTACGCAGCAATCAGAGCTCATGTAAATTACCGCAGTCCCTACCCCTATCCTGTGTGTCTTATATCCTGCATCTGGTGAGGACAAGCCTAGGGTGGGGGGCTGAGCCTGTCTCTATTAATCTCTTTTCCCCATCCTCACTCTTAGCCCCAGGGCTCTGCATACAGGAAAGGTGGCCAGTTTTAAAGCTATACACAACACACACAACCCCCAAACTGTCAGATAACCCTACCAGCCAAGGGATTTCTCAAGCTTGTACCCTCTACTGAGCTCCCATCGGCCTGTTCATTCGGCACAATGAAGCTGCTTCATCCACAGGTAAAACCCCTAGAAAACCAGAATGGTTCTAGTCCCAGAGTGCTTCCCTCTCTCAGCATGACGGAAAGTCACCTACTTTTAAGAAAAGCTTGGGACAAAAATGGAATCAAAACAAAGGCCCAACAAGTCATGTCACCCACTTTGGAATTTCTGGAACTGACACAGCACGAGGCAATAGCATGCACATTGACCATTGGTTTGGGACTTGTGGAGATTTCTGGATCAAGACCTGGGATGGCCCTGCTCCTAAACCCACAGGGAGGAAGTGAGCCCCGTCCTCTGGGGCAGGATTCACTGCTCTCCAGCAACCCTGGCCCTGCGCGCGGTAGCCACGTTTGCACAGACGCCGGGCCCTTCTGTTTCAGGCATCGCTGGGGCCAGGCGTTCTCTGTCCTCATTATACAATCTTTGTTTCCGACGGAAGCCCACTCAGTCCACAGAGCCAGAGCCGAGGATTCCTCTCCACAGTGCATGCACATCCGGCCCCTCCTGGCTTCCTGAGAGCCCTAGACTGACGCCTGATAAGAGCTGAGACACACCATGCAAGGTGGGGAATGGGTGGGGATGAGTCTTCTTTCCAAGGAAAAGAGGCAGGCAGGCAGCTGAGGATGAGGATGAAATGCCCCATGCTTGCAGGGGATGGCCAGGCCAGATCCCCTCTCACCTGTACTGGTCATAAAGGTGATGACGGTACTGCTGATGCCCTCGTTGTCCCGGGAATAAACCCGCAACGTGTATGTCATCCCGGGATAGAGGTCTGTCAGCTGTATGGGCTGGGCCTGGGCCTTAACAGGGATAGTTTTTTTCGTATGGTTGCCTGGGGAACAGAAACCTCAGTCAGCCTAGAGCCAGGTACCAGGAAGTGGAGAGAATGCCTAGGTTCCTGGTCACCGGTCAGATGGAGGAAGGGGGAGGTAGGGGCCAGGGACCACGGGTCCAGTCCGCCGCACAGACCTAGATAGCAGGCAGCCTCCCAGCCTCTCCATGCAATGCTAGTTCTCTCAAACGATGGCCCGCAGCCAAGGACACGGTGCCCTCTCCTGAAATTCTCTTTCCCCTCCACAGTGTCAGCACTGAACACGTTATGACCTACTTCCTTACACTCTCAGCATGTCAGCTTACGCTCTATTGCCCTGGAATGGTTAATTTCCCACGTGGGATTGGCTCGCCAGGGCCCGAGCGCCAGGAGGCCTCCCTCGTGGAAATGGCAATGAGACAGGACTCCCCTGGGCTCTCACACCTGGTCTCACCTGTCACCTCTCGCCATGTGGCAAATTCACGCTTCAGGAAGAGGGTGTGCCCATGTGACTGGGCTGTAAGGTGAGTGGTTGCAGCAGGAAGCTGAAAAAGTTTGGGCCAAACTAGGGACTCTTAGGTTCTAATTCTATGAATGTGGATTACCCCTCCATTACAGAACTAAGGGCTAGCTCTGCTCTTCCTAGGAGAGCTCCAGAAAGGTTCGCCTAGGTGGCCTTTCAGGTGGGATAGTTGGCTGCATTGCTCAGAGCACATGCCAAAGAAGCCAAGATGACAGGCTGGACCCTGCAGGACCAGAGCCCTTCAGTCAGAAAAGGCAGACATTCTAATCACACTCAACAACCTAGTCAAACTGTACCCTTGGTCCCAGGACCCAGTAAAGAGTGAATAGCTCAGTTTAAGCCACTGCAGAGACAAGTATTAGGTCGTTGGAAAAGTCGGGATGTATTTTTCTATGCAAAAATGTGTCATGGGGGACCAGCAGGTGGTGTGATGGTTAAGGTGCTAGGTACTCCCACATGGCGGACCATGGTTCAAGTCCTGGAAATAGTGGTTTGTGTTCTCGCTTTCTCTATCTGTGTGCCTTTCTCTGGCCAAATTAAAATAAATGAATGAATGAATAAAATAAATAATTTTTAAAAATGCAACATGACTTTTCCAATGACCCAGATAGCGCTAGAATGTCTCTGCTGATGGTCTGCTGGCCTTCCCTCTGCGAGCAAAGCACACGGTAGCCCAGGTCTATGGACTGGGCCAGCTGTCTTGTGAGACATCAGAGATATGGAGCCTGAGTTAGGAGGTCAATGCAGAGGTTAGAGTCGGCTCGTTTGGGGGCTATTCAGAACCTTCATCCTGTGCAGGAAATGGCTACCAGTCCCCTTACCCAGGTCCTCTGCAGCAAATGCCACCCTAGGCCTTTGCTAATGGTCTCAGAAGCCCCCTTCCTTTTTGAACTTGCTCCTCCCACCTCTCTGCTGTTTGAGCACCGAGCAACTTCATTAAGCCGTCATTCAGCCAGGCTACCAGACAGGGGCCTGGGGGAGTTCACAGGGTCTCTGTAAGGGCATCTATCACTACCCACTACTGCTGCCAGCGCGCCGTGCCACCCCGCGGAGCAATGCTTACTGTCGATGTACTCAACCACAAAGTCAGTTCCCGGCCCGAAATTGTGCTTCCAGGTGATGTTGGCTGATTTACTGTTGGGGCTTGCCGTGACGTTCCATATGGACTGCTCGTCGGGGGCTGGTTAACAGGTTAGAAGAGGAGTTAGTGATGAAGAGCGAGGCAGCACTGGAGACGTGGAGGGACGCACACAAGCACACACATGCGTACATGTACACACACACAGTCAGCTAGGAAAGGGCAGATCAGAAACGCTGTGCACGAGGCCCAACAGAATCCAAGCTGCAGCCTTGGTGGCCAGGCCAGAGGTCGCCATCCAGTCAGGAGGCCTTGGACATGAGGGAGAGCTGGAGACTGCCTTGGGTCCACTCTGGTGGGGGAAAGCCTGAAAGAGGGCCTCGACCCGAGGCATTTGAGACTGCAGCCTGAGCTTATTTCTTGTTTGGGTCCCCCGTCACAGTCTGGGAAGGGACGAGAAAGAGGCCCCGTGGGCAGGATGCAGACCAAGGGGAGACGTGCGTCTTTCCCTCCAATCGAGAATGTCCCATAGGAAGGAGAGGAGTCCTCTTCAAAGCCAAGCAAGAGCCGCAGTGAGATTTGTGGGAAGGACAGGCGTGGGTGTGGGCACGCCTGAGCTGGAGGGGCAGAAGGAATTCAGACAGGGGCCCTGTTAGTGGCCCCTGCGTGCTCTTGGTCAGGGAGAGCCTACATGATGTATAAAATGGCCTCAACCTGTCTACGGTAACATGGGAGCTGAGCTTGAGGGTCGTAAGCAGAGATAGTATGAACCCATCCTATTCCTTTTCCCTCACGTGCTATGAGACCAAGAGATGACGACTCCTTCCCAACACCCAGCCCTCCATGGTCCAGACAATGTCCCTGTTCTGTGGCCTCTCAGCACCAGGGTCTTTGAGGCTTCATCCATGCAACACAGAGGCCATTAATTATCTAGTTCCTCTGAGCTGGGAGCCACTTATCAAAGCCGTGGCGCTGGTACCGTAGCCTGCGTACTGGAGAACGGCACTCATCTTCAAACATAATCATTTTCCAAGAGTCCCAGCAGTCTGATTACCCCATTTCCCAGCAAAGATTTAATAGTGGAGTACTAGCATGAAGCCATGTATTTCAAAGACTTTACAAGCGTGGCTCCTGTATATTTTATTAGCATGTAAGGGGGCACTGTCACCAACTCACTCGTCAGAAATGCATGACTAGAGAACATTGGAGATGCATTTATTCATTATCTATCTGACATATGACTGAGCCTGCCAGGCTGGGGAAGTGATAAAAGATCTCTTGATTTTCACTTCAAAGAAGTGCCTTCTCTGCTACAACCTTGTCAGGTGTGGGTTGCCCCAGGTGAGTGTAACTCCTGTTAGGTAAGAGGCCAACAAAGAGACGCCTTTGACGGCAACACAGTGTGTCTTCCATGGGAAGGGCAGAAACTGGTCTGCCTGATGTTTCAATTGTAGTGGCAGTTTGGAAAGAATGATTTATTTAATGTTATTTGTTATTGTTATTATTTTTTAATTTGCTGAGAGAAAGAGGGAACATGAGACAGCAAGTCGCAAGGTCCAGGACTCGAGCTGTGGTCAGCTTATGTGGGAGTCCAGCGTCCCAACCACCACGCCACCTCCAGCTCCTATACTGGCTGCTTTAAGACACCCAAATCCCAGCTCCTTGGAATTCCCTGGCTCTTGCTAGTGGAAATGACAGATGATGAATCTTGATTTGGGATTTGAGTTTCTTCCTCCCTGGCTTTGGGCCCTATAAATAGCTAAAATTTGTGTTTAAACAGTTGGCCACCCATGTTGACCTAATCTGGCTGTCTTAAATGAAATGGAGACTGGGCGCTTTAAGAAAAGGTCAGATGATGGGAAGAAAACAAATGATTTAGAGTGGGAGTTGGAAGAAAGCATTGCCGTTATTGAGAGACCAAGCCGAAGACCACTAAGGAACTGGAAAGTTCATGACAGAGAAGGACCACCGCGAAGGTGAGCCATCAATCACTACAAAAACAAAAGGGGTGAGAGGAAGCAGGAATTGATTCACTGACTCCTGGAATGTAAGAATGAAGTACTCCTGGGACCAGCAGTTAGCTTAATGGCTATGTCGCTGGACTCCTATGTAGTCGACCACGGTTTGAGTCCCGGACCCGGTGGCTTAAACTCACGCCGGGCGCGTGTGCGTGCTTGCCTAAGATCCTGAGAGGAGATTGGAGGAGAAGGGATTGCAGCGTGACCATCCCCCTGGAGGCATGATTTCTTGCTTTCTGTCTCTCTCTGTCTTTCTGGCGAGCGCACGTGCCCTATAACAAAAACCTCTCCCCCCCCAAAAGAGAATGAGGTACTCCTTGGAACTAGAAACAGATGAGTTTAGGACAAATAAAAAGGCCTGTTTCATCCTGGAAAAAGGCAGGTGTGGGATCATTCTGTCCTAAGATGGAAGACAGGGTAAAGAGGAAAACTCAGTTTGAGGATGGCAGAACCATTCCTCCACATTAAGGGAAGCAAGGATTTCTGGGGGCGTCCCACATCTAGTTAAGGTCAGGGTCATGGCCGGGTCCCTGGAGTGTCTCAGACGCAGTTAGACCTGGAGTGTGAGTCCATGGGCTAGTACTATGTGGTAGGAAGGTAGCCCTTTCCAGAAGGCAGGCAGTTATTGCTGGGCACAGGCCCCATTCTCTGTTCCTTCATGCACCTCTACTGTGAAGTCAAAGTACTTAGGACCCTGAGCCCCACTTTAATAAGAAACGCCTCCGTGTGGCCCCCAAAGAACGCCCATCACCAAATTGCTGGTGGCAGCTTGTAAGACCCTAGCAGGTTCCTCCTGAGCCAATGTCTCCTGAAGTGCATGTTCTTTAAATTCCAGATGTTGCACCTTGAAAGCAGCCCAGCGCTCTCAAGGTCCAAGGTGCATCACCTGTCTCCCCTTACAGCTCACTGAGCACCATGTAACTGAGTGTTAAGAATACTCACATGGACATTAAGCCTCCATCCTCATTCAGTGAAGCTTCCAAGGTGGAGGGACATGCCTGGGAAGCAGGCAGTGAAGAGTGGGGCTAGGATTCCACAACTGCTGGAGGAGAGTCTGGGACTTCCTGCAAGCAGACCTGTGGCTGTGGACACAGGAAGCTAGAGACCCTCCCCTCTGGAGTCCTAAGACTGTGTGATGCTCAGTGCTTAGAAGGAAGGACTCCCAGGGGTCTTTTCCTGCTTGGATAATAGAGCTTCCTGGAGTGGCTGCCAGTTGCAGGAAATGCACATTTTCCTGACTCAGTAGGCTGGCCTGGGGATCGATTCTTACCAGCCACCCCCTCCCCCAGAGCAACTGCAATTTCCCCTCCCTATGCATTTGGGGGTGTGGGGAAGAGGAGCGGGAGAGTAATGGAGCACCCTGGGGCACTATGGGAGTCTGGGCAGTACTGTTTCCTGGCAGCTCTGACTTAAAAGCAGCGCCTGTAAGTGGTCCTTGGGGCTGAGGGGCACAGAAAGAGCAGGGTTCTGGGGAACTGATCTTGCCCTGGTCTGTTCCTCAGTCCCCACTCTGCAAGACTGGATCAAACCGGCCAGAGCAGGATGCTCTCTTCTTGCTGGCTACAGTGTTGGAACTTTTCCCTTTCTTGCACCCTACCCTTTGGGGTGCTCAGCCCTGAGCGGCTTCTTTGCCGTGTAGGTGGAGGCAGTCCCCCTATCTGGGACTGAAGTTGGCCCACTGCCAAGGGATAGGGACCAGGGCTAGGCTAGCATGAGGGGTACTGGGCCGCCAAGGGACGTGTGGGTGTGCTGGGGATAGAGGGCCTCTGGGCCTCTAGGCTTCTGGGCTGCAAATCCAGCCATGTGTGAGTTTCTGGAGGAGAAACAAAGGTGGGTGTTGGCAAACACCACCGCGGACCCCACTCCTATCTGTTTCTTGAGCCAGCCGGGGAGGTAGGCTGGGGCAGGGGAGCGCGGGCAATGCGTAGTACCGGCTTCGTGTATCTTAGTCCCAGTGGTGGTGGTGGGAGGACTCTCCGTGGTGGTGGTGGCGGCAGTGGTTGTAGTTGTGGCGACGGTGGTGGTGGCCATGGTGGTAGGTGCGACAGTTGGGATGATGGGAACGGTTGTGGCTTCCTTGGTGGCAGCAATGGCAGTAGCATCAGTACTGCTCACAGCGCCCGTCGCGCCCACAGGCGTCGGGGGCAGTGTGGGAGGAGCTGAGAGGGAAATGTAAAATAGCCGAGTCTGGTTGGTTTGGCTGCGCCAGCCTGGACACACGGCCCCCGCGTGCACGCAGGCAGCCCCGGAGGAGACGGACCGCGGTGATCGAAGCCCCCGCGCATAACGACCGGGTCAGATGGACGACAGCGACACAAAACACAGCCATGGGCGGTTCCGGAAGAGAATGAAGCCCTGTGTTTGTTTCATTTTCTTCTCATGGTCTGTGTGGCTCGAAGCACCCAGCATGCACCCAGCCAGGTGTGAGGATGAGGGTGGGAAGGGACATGGACCGATCACCCCGACCCCACGGACGACACAAGTCCCAGGCCAGACGCCACCCAGACACAGGCCAAGCAGCATCAGCTGGATCCAGCCCTGGAGCCCCAGCCTCAGGGGCCCACGCATCCTTGCCAAAATCACCCTCTGTCGTGCCTGAGTTCAGACAGAGCCAGCACCTAGAGCCAGCACCGTGGAGAGCAACCCCACTCTGATGAGCTTTCGAGCCCCACCAGCTGTTTCCTGCCCTGTCCTGCCTTCCCTCTCCCTTCTCTGCCCAATGGCGGCCCTTTCTGCAAAGAAGCCGACCCAGGCTGACTTCTGGTTGGGCCTTCCTCTCCAGGAAACTTGGAGACCAGGAACTCCATGTCCTTTCCGGTCATGTTGGAGTGCGGGGAATGGTGCTATCAAGTGATTGTGTGACCTGAATGCAGCGCACCATGGCTCCAGCTCACAGCGGACACAGACCCCCCCAGGCCAAGAGTGAGACACATCTGGGCTTTCTTTCTACATAAACTTTCATCTGGGGCACAGGGTGGGTCCGTCTGGGTGAGTCTCACCCATCTCCCACGCAAAGCTACTGTTTGACATCGGCCAGCCTTTTCCTGGGGGTCAGCCTTTTCCTGGGCCCCCTTTCCTTTTACGGAATGGTTGTGGAAGCAAACAAGAGACCGCTGCCCTATCTTCACAATCCAGTGCCAATATTTGCTAAGACTCAGAGTGTGGGAAGGATGAGACAAATCAGAGAGAGAGCCATCTCTCCTCCTCGCGTTCGTTCTCCGAAGATCTGACCACGGTCCCTTTTCTAATGTGGATGCTAAAATGGAGCAGCAGGCAAGGGCCTGAAGACACAGCAGGTAACTTCAGCTCCCAGGGAACAGTGACATCCTGCTCAACCTCACATCTCCAGAAGTTCAGGAAAGTAATATCCCCCACCTTCCCCCATACAGGGGATAGGGAGGGAAGCCAGGTAAGAATTGCCAGAGAACTTTTTTGGGCGGAGAACAAAGTCACCCTAGGCCTTCTCAACCAGACCCAGACCAACAAGAGCCCTCTCGTTGCTCTGCGTCTCCAACGGTGACGTTCCCCACAGAGAAGGAGGGCATGTTCCCAGGTCCTGCTGCTTCCTCCCTTGGGAGGTCAGAGGTATCACTGGGCCCTGGGGATGCTGACTGCAGGGGGCACACTGGGCAGCTGACTGTCCCATTCAGTTCAGAGACTTGGGGCAAGTTCTGAGTCCCCCTTACTCCCCAACCCCGTCAACTCCCAGACATTAGGAAGTCGGGGGAAGGGCGGGAACGGGGACGGCTCCCCTGGTCATGTTCCGTATTTAGGGATATATCGAGAACAAGGTGGCCCCAGGCTTGGAGCGTAAGCCCAGTGCTGTCAACCCTCAGCACGAGGGATTCAGTGATCCCGTCCACCAACACACACACACACAGTCACAAGAGACCCCCGGGCCTGGCCCCTGCAACTCGGCTCCCAGGGCCCTGGACACCCATGGGCTCTTCCTATCGCTCTGGGCAGCTGGGAGGAACCTGGGGAGGCTGCTCTGTCCATCTGAGCAGAACTGTTCTGATGAACTTCCTTATCACCGGTACATTTCTAATCTCTCCCCTTCCCATAGCTACCTAAAGGTGTCATTAGAATACACTCCCTTTAACTTTGACACCCTACACTGTGTGGTAAAGGGACATGCAGGTTCAGTGGTTACTGCATCTCCCAGGCCCTGCACCCAGGTCCATCTTCCCCAAAGCTACACACACTGTCATGAGGTCCCTTGGCCCTGGTACAGGCAGAATCCCTCACACCCCGACAGGACCCATGGCCAGGCCCAGGTGCTCCCCAGGGCGTTCCAGGGACAGAGATGGCTAGGTTAGAGCTAGGCCTGGTTTCTCACTCAGTTGGTCAGAGATGAGGATGCTTCCATGCCGTGCTGTCCCCACCCTCTGATGGCCACTGTCAGATAAACGCAGGAAGCGTTTATCTCCCATGATGGCTACCTGGCTGCCCCCTTTCTTGCTCAGTAGTGACAGTCTTGGGGGCCAGAGGTGAGAGAGGACAGGGGTCACTTTCTAGGAAGACGTCCTGGGACCTGCCATAGAGTCACCAGAGGTCCTGGAGAGGACACAAATCTGGCTGGCTGTGGTCACAGCTGGCCAATGAGTGCGCTCCCTAAGCAGCTCATGAGCTGATCTATCGTCCCAAGGTTGGAAGAAGGCACCAGAGAGACGGAGGGCAGAGGCAAGAAGAAGAGGCTCTGGGAAAGAGGCAAAGTTTCCTCGGAGAAGACCACCCATTACTTAGGTCAAAAGAGAATGGCCTGAGTTCCCTGGGATGAGTTAGGGGAGAGGACAGAGGGCAACCAAGCCCAGAACAGGAGGTAGCTGGCGGGACCACAGGCCAGGTACAGCTGTTCTCGGCTAGGGTGCCATTTCTAGCCACTACAGGAACCGTGGGGGTGGAGACGGTCCTGGTCAGTGCTGACCAGAGACCACCAGCTTGGAAAGGGGAAGAGGGGGAAGGGACCCCCCATGACCTAAGGGAGAGCCAGGGCAGGCCTAGAGCTGGAACGCCAAACCAGAACAGCAGGCAGTGTCAACCTCATGGCTGTCCAGTGCACGACAGGAGGCAGCCTGGCCATGGCCGAGGGTTCTCCATGAGTTCGAGGAGCACTGTGTAGGAGGCCACGCCTCATTCACCTTTCTGTCCCCGGAACCTGCCACGGAGCTGGCCCCTACCAGGAGCCCACCGAACATTTGCAGATCTGAGTGGGCAGCAGCTGCAGACATTCCATGGTGGAAGGTTCAGTCCATAAATGTCGACCTGGCCTGTGGACACCCCGGCCAGATCACAGCTTGTCAGGGCAGCTGGGCAGCAGTCCTCAGAGACTGCCGACACAGGGATGAGTGGGATTATCTTCACTGGGTGAGAGACACACAGCCCACTTTGGGGGGGAAAGCACCTGTGTTAGGAGAGGATGGGGGAAGGGCGGTAGGCTGGACGCCGGGCCATCAAAAATGTCAGACCGAGCTCCACGGCTTGGAAGCTGCCCATTGTGCAGAAGGTTCTGGTGCATGGAGAGCTGAGAACAGCTGATGCTATCAGCACGTCTCCTTCACAAAAAAGAGCAGTCTGCCTCTGTTCCCGTGTCACCTGGCAGTTGGAGCCCAGCAGGCACGTTTGATGGAGGGACAGAGGTGCAAGCTCATTCTGCATGACGCGAGGAATCTGCCTTTCTAAATGGCAAGTGGGAAGTGGGGCGTTTGGGACAACACCCCCTGATAACTGCCACTCACAAGAGGGGCCTACAGACGGGCACAGATGCCCACGGAATGAGGCAGACACTCTGCCGCAGATCCACTTGCCCTGGGTCCCAGGGCTCTGGGAAGGGGGAGGGGAGTGGGGAGCTGCTTACCAACGAGTGTCTAGCTGACTCGCCTCCTGCCCGCCCTGCTTCTCCCCTTCTGTCCTCACCAGGCCTGCATGGACCGCCCTGACGACGGTGTTAACAGTCAAGGAGGGGCTTACATAAGTGGGAATCGGGCCAGGCACACCCCCCCAGTGTGGCCAGGAAGGCTCTCCCCCTGGTCCCTAGGACTGTGTCTCAGACTCACAGCCCAGCAGCGGTGTTCAGGCCTGTGAGGAGGCACTGGGCCTGGTCAGTCTGGGTTACTAGGGGCAGAGGGTGGAGAGGATGAATGAGGGCAGGATGCTGGTAGCTCACCACACGGATCTCACAGGCAAAACACACGCAAACTGAAGGAAGCAGGGTGCGCAACAGAAAGAGAATCAACCTAGAAATGGCAGGGGGACAAGCCAAGGAGGAAACCAAATGGTGCCCTCCCCACTGACCAGCCTCAGTCCTCCCCTAGCTGCCTCGCGTTCAAGGGGCTCTGTGGACCCCTTTCTCAGCCTTTGCTCTGCCAGGGCAAGCCCATTCTCATTTCAGAGGAGGGCTAGGAGAGGACCCGGGGTCCCTCATCTAGCCTCTTCAGCTTGGGGACAGGCCTTCTGTGGAGAGGAGCCTTCTGATGGCCCTTGAACCCATGGCATGAAGACTTGGAAGGAAGAGGTTAGCAGGACCTGCCTGCCCAGTGCCACCCCTACGCCCTGGGAGTAGAGATTGTTCTGTCACTAAGTGCATCGAGAAGCTGGGTTCTGAGGAACGAGGCACAGTGGGCGCTGGCACCGAGACTGGGGCACCTGGCCCGATCCAAGGACATGCTTGCTCGTTCTCGAGCAGACCACGTACTGGCAGAGCCGGGGCTGGGCCCCCATGCAGCATGCAAGGCCATCATGCACTGCGTTCACCCTCTCAGGGGAAGGCCTGACCGGAACCAGGGCCAGGGGCCGCTCAGAGGCTCAGGACTCTCCATGCCGAGTGGAGGCATGGGCCCTAGTGGCTCATGGGAAGTAACCTATCAGCTTCAGAGAACACTGCCACTCTCAGAGCACGCAGGAGCCTGGGTGTGGGACCCCCTAAGCCATCCTCCTTCTAGTGGAGGGGGAGAAGGTGTGTGATCTCCAGTCCCATCCTCCACACACTTCCTCGATGGTCTGGCTTCCCAACCACTGAGAGGGTGAGCCTGGAGCATGCTTCCAGCCCAAGCCAGGCTCTTTTCTGCCCCGGCTGGGTGGCTCCACCTGCGTTGCCCCGTGCCATGCCCATTACCTCCGCGGCTGGTACAGTACCTGCAGTTGGAGTAGCTTCAGAGCACAGCGCCCAAGATGGCCAGAGAGAGGGAGAGAGAGTGAGGAGGGAAGAGAAAACAGCACCGGTGAAACCACAGGACAAGCAAGCAGAGAAGGTTCCGGCTCAAACCCGACCCAGCCGGTGTGGCCCAGTCCTGGCCCCTACCCTGAGGATGCCAGCTGGTGTCGGGGCGCCTTCACTAGAATCATAAATGTCCCCACAAAACCATTTTATCTGGGTCTTGGGGACCTTTCCAACACACTCTGTTGCTACGTCTTCTCAAGGGGCAGTCATCTAAAAGGTGGCAGCCAAGACAGCTCACCCTGAGTGCTACATCCCCAGCTCTTTCCCCGAGGGTGTGGCCTGCCCTGGCTAGGTTGGGGGCCCTCCATGACCCCAGGAATTGGGAGGATAAGGTGGAAGTGATGAAGGAAGATAGCGACCCCAGTCAAAAGGATGGTTCCTGTATCTTTGGGGAAGATGCCGAGTGTGGGCTGGGTAGGGGAGGAGGAGCCTCTTCCGTGAAGCTGTCCACACCGTCTCAGCCTCAGAATGCCCGGGCACTTGGAAGCGGTGGAGCCTCGCAGGCCGATCCGGCATCCTGCTGCCCCAATTCTTTCCCAGCAATTGTACTTCAGGAAATTAGAAACTCATGTGTAGACTGAGCGCCCTAAAGGAATTCCTGAATTTTCTGCAAATCCCTAAGTGGAGAAGAAAGTCTCTCTCTGTCCCTTTGTCCCCTGGTGCTGTAGAGCATTCCCTGGGGTAGTTACTGGGCTGGACAATGGAGCTCTGTCATGTTCTGTACTGGCTGGAGATGGGGAGGGGGAAGAGGCTTTCTCCATTTATCTCCTTACAGAACCGACTAATCACGGAGTGCATGGTGGCCTGGCCTGGCCTGGCCTTTGGTAACAGGCAACCCATCAGTCCTGCTTTGGCGCGGCCCCCTTCACTGTCTCAGCGCTGGCCTGCTGGCCTGCTGGCCAGGGCAGGTGGCTGGGGAAGCACTGATGCTCTCCTGGGATGGGGCGGGGTGGGCCAGGGCAAGGGCCCCAGCCTTCTGGAGAAAGCACTAGATGTGAGAGCTTGTCAGCCTTAGGGAACCTACCCACACCACCTCTTCTTGGGGGCTTCCCTTGCAGAACGAAGGCCCCTCCTCGGCAGCCACTGCACTGGCTTTATCTAGCTACGCGGATGTCCTTGTGGCTACCTCCCCTCTTAGACGGTGTGAGCTTCTTATCACTTTTGTGTCCTTTGCTTTTGGCACAGACTCTGGCATCTCACATAGCGGTGCTCAAGAAATGGCTGTTGACTAGACCATGGGGCCTCTGAGAGGCAAAAGGGTCCCCACCTTCTCACGGGAGCTCCGTTAACACTGCGGCTCTGCCGACTTGCTCCCTGAGAAGTCCCTGCACCGAATCCAGCGCACGTGCGAGTGGGCCTGGAGCCCCCTCCAGTGGAGTCCTCAGGCAGGTGCAGCTCCACTGGGGGACCTCGCGCTGCCAGGAGATGCCAGGACCCAGGAGGTAACTCAATTGCCCTTAGTGAAAGCTGGCTTGACAAATGGCTATTTCCCATGGGCCTCCTCTCTGCAGCAGCAGTCCTTGGGGGTAGAGGGGCTGTCCCCACGGCTCTCATGGGCATTCCTTAACATTCCTGCCTCCCATCAGAGGTGAACGTGTTTATTATTGTGTGGGGTTCTTTTGCATACACGCTGAGTATTCCTTATCTGAAATCCCTGGGATCAGAAGTGTTTCACAAATTGGATTTTTTTTTTTAATTTTTAGAATATAGTGGAGTCTCCCAAAAGTTTGTAGAAAATGGGTCTCATGAAAAAGTGCATGGATTTCCAAGGTTTTCTGCACCAAAATAAACTCATACTTTAATCCTATTTTTCCACAAACTTGTTGAAGTGCCTTGATATTTGCACACACGTGAGGATATATCTTGGGGGGTGGGACTCACGGCTAAGCACAAAATTTACTTGTTTCATGTACACATTATGCACACAGCCTGACAGCAATCACTACAATATTTCCGTATTGCAGTGCGACTCTGACCCGTCACATGAAGTCAGGTGTGACACCTGGGTGTCATGTTCAACGGTTTCGGATTTCGGAGTATTTCGGATTGCAGAGTTTCAGATTAGGGGCGTTTGACCTCTATTTACTTTTAACATTTCCCTTTATCTCCCAACCTATGTTCTCTTCCTTACTCCTCATCAAAAAGGAAACATGACAGATGTCACGTAGCTGAGCACGTCAAGGCAAAGTGGGGACCCTGGTCTCACCCCAACAGTCTAATGAGATCTTAGTTTTCCTGACGCAAGGCCAGCACCTGCCTCTTAGCACATAAGAAGAGTTCTCTTACTGAGGCTCGAGGACGTGCAGCCTCACGGCCTCCCCATCCCAGGAGGCCAGGCACAGTTCTGTGTTTTTCTAGGCTTCAGAATTAGCTGGGGCCTTTTACCCCGGAAGCTGCAGCCAGGTACCTACCTTCATTTGGAGGTGCTGGCGACTCCTCCGTGACTGCCTCCCCAGAGCCCACCTGCGTCCTGGCGCTGAGCGTAAAGCGGTAGCGGGACACCGGGTCTGCCCTCTGCACCGTGAACTTGGTCTGATTGGGAGAGAAAGTTTCCGCCATCTGCTTTCCTACTTTGGTTCCATTAACTGGGGAGAGACAGGAAAGGGGAATGAAACTTCTGCAACACGACCAGAGTGGGTTATATAACCTGCAGATGCAAGAACACCTTCCTGGCTGCTAAAAAGGGAGACAGAGGCACCTGCCTGGTGAGCTGAAAGGCTGGGGCTCAAAGGAGAGCGCTTGCAAGCAGCACCCCCTCCTGGCCCTTTGGGTACACCCTGGGTTAACACCTCCTCACTGACCCCATTGTCTCTGCTCGCTGCAAAGTTGCATGGCACTCTGAAAGATTCTGTCTATAATCCCCAAGCCCTTTCAACAGGGACTGAATCCTAGAGCTCCTTTCTCCCTTTCAGACAGATCTAGGGCAAAACCATGAGGGCTTTTGATTACGAATAATGTCTTTAGGAAAAGCATATTCAATATACCTCAAAGGGCCAGGGGGTCAGGTCCAGGGTGGATTCAGAATAGCACACATTCGGTAAGTAAAATCGTTAATGACACAGGGCCCGGCCCTCGAGCTCCCAATAAGCTACCACATCACCTCCCTGAGAAGGCTCAAAGTTTTTCAAGTGCAGGGACACCCCAGTCTCGCATATGATGCTGAGCTATGGAGCTGGGGTCTGCCCCCCACCCCAGGCTCCTGATTCGTCACTCCACAGCTGCCTGGCCGTCAATGACACCTTGTGACGGTGTCTCCTGTGTGTCTGTGGGTGCCCCTGCACACGTGTATACTCTGCCCCATCCCACCTGGTAAGATGTTCTCTCCCAGACTGTAGGAGATCCCGAAGGCGGGGCTGTCTTCCTCGGGAGACCAGAGCTCCCTCCTTTCACCCACCAGACTAGAAGCCCCCCGCGGGCGGTGCAGTGTAAGGAGCTGTGCCGAAATAGGGCCTCCCCTGCCTCCCCGGCCCTCTACCCCTCGGCAATGCCCTCGGCAATGCCCTCGGCAATGCCCTCTGCACCCGTGGGCTCTCCACCGTGATGACCCAGATAAAGTGTAAGAGTGGGGTCTCTGCTTCCCAGGTGATTGGAGAGAGAGAAGGGCAGAACATACAGGCCACGTATTTGAGGGTGTATCCAATCAGGATCCCATTGGGGTGTTCTGGGTGATCCCATTCCAGGTTGATTGTCTGCAGGTTGGGCTGCCGGACTCGGAAACGCCTGGGGGCACTGGGTACTTGGGGAAGGAGGAGAGAGCAGGGGAGATGAGGGGGAGGGGAGGGGAGGGGAGCAGGGAGATGAGGAAAACACAAAAACAAAGCACAGTGTGAAGGCCTTGAACCCAGGAACCTCCATGCTGGAGAGCTGCTAACCCTGAACTTGGGAGCACTCCGAGGCGGCCAGAGCCCGCTGCCCCGTCCAGAACGGAGGACGAGAATGACTCGGGCTCTGCTGCTGGAATGGGGAGGGAGTCAACCAGGTTTTCCTTGAGCGACCACCCTGGACTCGCACACTTAGGCTCCCATCCTGCAAGACGCCCTGAAGTCGGGCAGAGCCATCTGTAAGGTAGGAAACCAAGGGCAGCTGCTCCGTGGAGGCTGCGGGTGCTCAAATCCCAGCCCAGGACTCTCACCACTGGCTCCAGGCAGCAGGATCGGCCTTCTGAGTGGAGAATGCTGGGTTTAGGGGAGAGGAGAAAGAAACCCAGGATGGGAGGCCTGGAAAGTGTGGGCGGGGCAGCAGTGACTGACGATGAAAACCAAACTGAGGAGGAGGGAAGACAGGAAGAAAGAAAACAAGAGGGAAGAACAGAGGAGAGGAGGAAGGAGGAGGAGAAAGAAAACCGGGGGAGATAACAGTTAAGAAGAGAGGGGGAGAAACAAGAGGACAACGCTATGCCGAGCGACTAAGAGGACTGGTAGGACAGCGGGCGGGACCAGGAACCTCAAAGGCACCTGTGTCCCCAGGACCAGGTCAAGCCATAAACTTGCAGAGGGAAAGGCTACACCAGGTACCCTGAGAGCCACCCCCCACACAGCTGCCGTCCCAGTGAAAGCGTCCTGAAGATGGGGAGCGAAGTGGCAAATCGCGGGTGCTGGTAACGATCAGCTGGCTCCAGGCACTCAGGAAAGACTCTTTGGTTGCACTCACACGGTGGGACTTCAGCCGTAGGAGGTGGTGGAGAGGCCAGGCTGCCGCTGGGAGTGTGATGCGCTGGGAGTCAGTCCTGGCACGACATCAGCAGACTGCACAGGCCTGCTCTGAGATCCAGCCTGCTGTCAGAGCAGGACCCCGTGGTGACAGAGCGCTCTGCAGAATGGCAGGAGCCACTCAACTTGTCAGTCATCGGCTCCTCGAGGCCACGCGGAGGTCACCTTGTCCCATCCATGCTGGTCACGCTGCTGCTGCTTCAGGCACGGGCGTGTGCTACCCTCGTCTTGCCCCACCCCGAAGAGCTGCGGGTCAGACCTACCTCCTTCTGGGGTGGTGAACTCCTTGGTCTCACTGCGAGGCCCATCACCTCTCCCATTGACCACAACCATCTCCAGCTTGTAGTTACTGTAGGGGAAGAGGCGGGACACCACGCCCCGGGGGCGGTCACCGGGGAAGCTGGCTTGCTGTCTCTTCTGAGACACCCACAGGTTCTTCAGTAAACTGCTCTCCCTCCAGTAGTAGGCCTTCGGGACAGAGGCAGGCTGTGAGGGCTCAGCAGCTCGGGCCGGGTTAGTCGTTAGTGGTGGTGGCAGTGACCCGTCTTCCCTTTTGCTCACTACAGGCTCAAGTCCCACACGGCCTCATCAGCTTCGTGGAGGGCTGGGGGCAGCCTGGCAGCCCCACCATTAGCCGCTCACGAATATGAATATTTATGTCGAACAAGAAATCATTTTCCAAGCCATGCCACCTCCTCAGGGAAGGGGCATTTGGCCAAGCCTACACTGAGCCGCTCCGTCGTGAGGCTTTTTCCAAGCAGGTAGCAGGTTGCTCAGGGCATCCGTGCCAGGACCACAAAGATGACCAAGGGTCCAGGCACAGAAAGCTCCACTGTGTGCTCAAGGGCAGCGTCACCTCGAGGGAGATTAGTGTGGTTTAGATTGGCAGCAGACGGAGCTGGGAAGGAGAAGGTTACCCCCAGCAGCCAGAATGGGAAAGGGTTGGTTCAATCTTTTGAAGTCAAGTAGTTTCTTTTCCTATTGTTTAAAGACCTTTAGGAGTGAGCTAGTCACATGTCCACGACTGTGGGACATCTGGCTGTGTGGTAGCAGAGCCTGGGTAGACAGGATAGCTGTGGAGGGAGGTGGTGTCGCAGGGCACAGCGGAGTGAGTATACCTCAGGAGCTCTGATTAGCAGTGGATGAGAAGCCAGGTCGGGCTGCCAGGCCGGTGTCACCCTGGCTGCCCACCGTAAGGAGGGGTCCAGACTTAGAGGGAGACCTGATGGATGTTAGCCAAGGAACTCTCCAGGTAGGCAGGTAACAGGTGCGAGTCAGGCGCCGGGCAGAGCTCGCCAAGTGAGTGCGTCCTTTTGCCTTCCGTCCCCTGTGTGCCAGATTCATTTCCCAAGAAAAGACAGGCCCCGTCCGTCTGCCCCAACTGTGCATCAGCCCACTCCTGAGGACCACTGAGGTCACGGAACCTGTATCAATCATGGTTTCAGCCGTCCTCACTTCCCAGCCAACTTCGATTAACTTCCAGAGGGCATGTGCACTTGCCAGAGAGAGGAGGGAGAAAACCACCCCTAAAGGGGTGTGGTCATGCCACAATCTCTTCTCCATTTCTTCACCTTGTTGGGATTTGAGGCACGTACACACCCTTGCCCAGCATCTGGGACTGGGATTCGAACTGGAGTCAGCTATGTGGGATCTGGCTGCCTTAACCACTAGGCTATGAGGCGGTTTTCTCAGCCAACATTTTTTCTTTTTTGAGAGGGTTTTGCTATAGAGTGTGTGCACTCGTCAGAAAGACAGAGAGAGAGACAGAGAGACAGAAAGCGAGAAATCACCCCCCAGGGGGGGTGGCCACGCTGCAATCCCTTCTCCTTTCAGGATCTTGGGCACGCACGCACACGCGCCCGGCTGAGTTTAAGCCACTGGGTCCAGGACTCAAACCGTGGTCGCCTACATGGGAATCCAGCGACATAGCCATTGCGCCAACTGCTGGTTCCTCTCAGTCAACTTTTAAATAGAGGTACTCATATAGGAGGCCTTGTACAATGGGACTTCAAAAAGTTCATGAAAAAATAGAATTAAAGGTACAAATTTATTTTGGTGCCTTTTTTTTTTTTTTTTAGATTCTGTTTTTTCTTATAGGCTGCATGTGCTCACCAGAGACACAGGGAAAGTGAGAAATCACCTTCCAGGAGGAATGACCACACCGAAATCCCTTTTCCTTCTGGGATTTTGGGAACGCATGCACATGAGCCCGGCATATTTTTCAGGCTGTGGAGTCCAGGACTTGAACCTTGGAGGCCGCATGGGACCCAGCGCCTTAACCACCATGTTACTTGCTGGCCCTTCTGTGAACTTTTTGAAGACCTGTTAGTTAACCTGGATTTTTTCCGCCTGCTCATTTCAGCTCACCCTTTCAGAGGAGAGATGACTGGGCAGGGGTACAGAAATTGCGGGCCCTGGTAATCCCTGTGCTGGGTAGCTGGAGTCGGGAGGGTGTCTGCACCCCTGTGGTTTTGTCTGTTAGTGGTGGCTTCATGAAGCCGAACTGGGGAGGGCAAGCAGCCCAGGAGAGGCCATTAGGAGAGGGCGGGGGTAGCTCGGCAGTGCCTCGCACTCCTCCCGGTGCACGTGTGTCCACTCACATGTTCCATACACAATGTGCTATGCAACGTCCACCAAGCCCACCACCCTTCCCAGGGTTTTCTGCCGAGCAGGATCTCTCAGCGTATGAGGGGACTTCAAATCGTTCATGGAAAAATGAACTTAAAGTACTAGTTTATTTTGATGCAAAGAAGTTTTGTGAGCCATACATAGTTTTTTTTTTTTTTAATTTTAGAAAGTTGTTTGCTATAGAGCGTATGTTTCTTTCTGCCAAGAAAGAGACAGAGGAGACAGAGCAGAGAGAAGGAAAGTGAGAAATCTCCCCCCCTCCATGGGGGATGGCCACACTGCAATCCCCACTCCTCTAGTCTCCTCTCAGGATTTTGGGCATGTATGCCCATGTGAAGCCACTAGGTCTGGGACTTGGACTACAGTTGGCCATTTGGGAGTCCAATACCTTAACTACCATGCTGCCTGAATTTTTAAAACTATATGCATTTTCCACGAACTTTTGGAAGGCCCCTTGTCTACCGCAGGATACATCAATGTGTGTTTACCCGGGGTGTATTTTTGAACAGCTGACCCTAGACACCACCTCCTTGAATCAGCTCTGGATCCCACGAATATCTCTAGGACCCCTTTCAAATATCCTGTGCCCCGCATCTGCTACCCCCGGCCCTGGTTAGCAGCTGGGTGGTTAGGGGAGCTGGGAGCTGGCTTCCTCACGCGGTACTCCCTGAGCTGGCCCTGGACCGTGTCGGAGTAGACGCGGTTCCACTGAAGGCTGATGGCTGTGCTGTTCAGGACTCGGACTTTAACTTCAGTGGGTGCGGCCCTGGGATCTGCAAGGTTTGGGGACAGAAAGCTGGTTACGCAGGCATGGCTAGCCCCTGGACTCCTGTGTCCCCTCTGGCTTGTCTCTCCACTCTGGACCCTGGGTACTGCAGGAGGGCAGGGCCATGTCTCTACCTTCAGCTAATTGCGGGTACAGAGGGAAGGCTCAGGAAAAGGTGGCAGAGAGGTGGAAGGGGCCCCGCCCATGTCCAGAGCGCAGGTTCCATATGCCCCTCCAGCCATGCTCTGCACTCCCCACTGGCTCCATGTCTTGGGAGGCCGTTCCCCTGGACCATATCAGCAGGCCTCCCTGTTCTCAGTTACCCGACAGGTTTAACTGGTAAGAGGTGCCCACGGGAGATCCCAGGGCAGGAGGAGAAGGGTGTGAACATCGGTTCCCTGGTTTCCTCTTTGTCAGGCATGGCACTCTCCTACAGCTCCTGAGGGTGGCCCTCGATGGTGGTGGTGACTTATCCGTCCCCTGCTCCATCGGGGCTCAGTGGTGAGACGGCTTCAGCCAGCCTTTGAGGCAGCCCTCCGCACCCTGCCTTTCCTCCCAACTCTGCCCACGTTTCAGTGCATCTGTTACGCCTGCCGGGAACACTACCCACCGAGACAGGTTGCCCTAACCTAGTCCTGAAGCGTTCTGATCCCCGGACTACCAGCAAAGGGAAGGCTACTCCTTCCCTGTAACTGAGTCTTGCCCTGTTCTCTACTCAGCTGCAAAAGCGGTTCTGCCCCAACCCCTTTCACCCCCCAGAGCACAGTCTGCAGGGGTAGAGGCAACAAAATGGTGGGGCAGTCCACGAAGCCCAGGACCGGATGTGGTCCCTTCACTCACCGTCCAGCAGTCCTCACTGGGCTTCTCTCTGGAAGTGCTCCATCGTGGAGGTAAGGTGGGCTTGCTGACCCCTGCTTATCACCCACATGGTCTAATCCTCAGTCACCTCCAGGGCCCAGCCCCTACCCCTTCCCATCTCCCTGTGGGGAACACCACCTGCGCTCCCACTGACCCAACCATGCTCGATGACACACTCCTCCCAGGACTGTCCCTAATCCCTTCCTTGACCTCACCATCCATCTCCGTGGTCCCTTTCTCGGATCAGACCCAGCACCAACAGGGCGTGGACTGCCCGTGCCAAGAAGGGGCCCCCCTGCCTCCTGCTCTGCCAGCAGATTGTGGGATTGATGTGCTAGGACAGATAGGCCATTCCCGTCTGTGAAAGCACACACTCCCACATATATGTCCACAAGCTCCTCAATTTACCCTCAGGAGTGGCCAGCCTCCAAAAAACTCCTCTCCTTGGTTCATTTCCAAGGGCAGGAGCAGCCCTGGGATGCCGGCCTCCACAGGAAGGTCAGGGGCTTGCAGACCTCCCCACCCCTCAAGGCTTCCAGGGGGCCATGGAGGAGGGGCCCTGCTTCCTGTGGAGGTGCCTCATTCGGCCCGTTGGGATGGGTAGTCCTGACGTCTTTCTTGGTGCGAGTGTGGCTCGGCAGCAGGGCACCCTGCTGGGGAGGGTCTGAAGACCCAGGTGAGATTGTCAAGCCTGACATTTATTCACATAGAACACTGGCAAGGGTTTTCTTTCCCAGGGCCTGGGTTTTCACACCTGGAGGGGACTGGGGGAGGAGCTGACATGCAGTGATCCTACCTGGTGTTCAGATGGTGGCGTCCTGCCTGACTCCGGACCTGTTGGGGCTCTATGTTCTAGCTCACCGCGTAGTTGTTCTCTTTCCTGGGACCAGGCTGTCCTCCCACAACCCACCTACAGATCCTGGCTATGACAGTGGCCGTGTGCGGCCTGGCTGTGAGGGTCCTGTCTGGGGGGATGCTGGGAGGGTACTCACAATCTTCTCCGGAGTAACCGATGACAGTTTCTGGCTCAGGACCCTTCCCGAAGTCATTTTCAGCTTGGACTCGGATCTCATAGGGCACATAGACAGGGGTCTGCCCCACAACGTAGCGAGAGCCCCACACGGTGGCATTGTTCCAGGTGTCGCGTGTCTCCCTCCGCCTCCACTTGACAATGTATCGCAGGTTGGGGCCAAAGGCAGAGGTGGCATTCATGGGCTGGTGGGAGAGACAGACCGACAGACGGTGGAAAGGACGCAGGCCAGGAGGCTGATGTGCCCACACCTTGCCCTCTTCCTGTGCCAGGTGCCCCTCCCAGATCTGCCTAACACTGACCAGGCCCCTTGCAGGGTAGGGGAGAACACACCTCCCTTCCTGATGAGTCCCCCAAAACCAAGAGGCCTATGAGCTCAGCTGTGACAAAGGCTTCACCTCAGACCTAGTTACTTTGATCCTAGAGCCACCCACATCTGCAGGTACAAAGGGGGTTAAAGCTTTATCTTCCATAGAGCAATAATAAAATATGGAGGGTAATATAATCTTCTCCGACGTCGAGAAAGGGATGCAGGTGGTCTAACCACAGCTCGCCTCCTGCCAATGACCTGAGAGTCCAGAGCTGACTCTGTTTCTACCGAATCCAGAGTGTCTGTCCCGTCCTTCCCAACAGGTCCGAGTTCCTCGAAGGGGGGTGCAGTGCTGTCCTTTATTATCTAAGCACCAGGGATCTGGAACCCAGGCTCGGCCCCGTGGCTGTTGCTCCAGTTGGGAAAGGCTGTGAGGCCCTTGGAAAGGCAGGTCTAGGTGGTCAGGGTCCAGACACTGCCTCCCGCCTGTGTCACTTGTGCAGCAGCTCAGAAATGGCACCGTTTCTGCATCTGCATGTGCAGCTCTCAGACTTGGAAGTGGTTTGGGGAGTAAAATAGTCTTTTATTGACCACATACCCCAGTTTTGATTTGGAAAGCACAGCCAGGGAGGTCAGGATAAAGATGGGACTTTGCAGTCACAGCCTGGGGCCATCTCTCCAGTCACCTAGCTCATTCCCTGATTAAAGGAAAGTTGATGCTGAGCGGGTCTCAGACAAAGGTCTCTCTTCCACTCTCGACCATCCCCAGCGAGGGGACCCAGAACACTCCAAGGCTCGACAGTGGTGTTTCACCTAGAACTTTCCTAATCTAACCCGGCTCCCTCCTTCATCGTATTCGGCTGGCATTCTGTATACCCTTTTAGACCGACAGTCTTGAACTTGGCCACCTCTGCACCTTAGACGTCGCTCCTGGACATCTGGCCTGCTTGCTTTCTGGATGCCCAACCCAGAAAAGAGCTTGGTTTTTCAAACAGTGGCCAGACAGTCTGAGCCACACGGGGGCCGCAGCGTCCCAGGGTATAAGGGCAAAGGCCTCCAAGTGCATGCTGATAGGTGAGCGGGCCCATCGGGGCTGAGGTGGGAGGGCCGCTTACCGTCCACGTGATCTCCATGTTGTTCTTCCTGGTTCCTTCTCCTTTCACGTCACTGGGATTGGACTCAGGGGCTGGAACCCAAAGGAACGCAGAGTTCAAGTCCAATTTGTGCCTTACCCGTGCAATCTGTCCCCCTCCCATCGGACAGGTCCTGCGATGCTCTGCTGTGTCTCAGTGTGTAACCACACTTAGGCTTTTTCTTGTGTGTGTGATTCGCCTTCCCAGCTAAGAGTTAAGCCCCACTGCAGGCTAATTTCTTTTACGTTTTAATCCCCAACCAGACAGCATTTATCATAAGGCTTTCCACACTGGGTGGTCAGTAAGCCAACTCAATGTGGATCATCTCCCATGTGGATGATCCACTGTGCTTGACACCAGACTGGTTTACCCCTGGCATTTAACAGTTGTGGGGAGCATCTCCACCCTCCATGAGCTGGTGCGATTTCAGAAATCTAAACGTTACCCGTGAGTGTTAGAAAAAGAAATTGGAAGTAACACTGGATAATGGATTTCCACTGCACCTCTTCGCCACAGCTCTCCCCTTTAAAGCAAATAATCAAGGCATCTTAATAGGTTGGGGGCTGGCAGGTGGCGTGGCGGTTAAGGATGCTGGACTCCCACATGTTTGACTGTGGTTCAAGTCCCGGACCTGGCAGCTGGCTTTCTCCCTCTCTGGTCAAATTATAAATAAATAAATAAAGTTACATAAAATAATTCTAAAAAGAAAAGAGGACTTATTAACAGGCTGGCCACGATGGTACAGCGATAACCAACGCTCTGCTATGTGAGGCCATGTGGGGAGGGTCTGGGTTTGCACCCCGCATACGTGCTGGGCTCTGGCTAACTGAGGCGGGGGAGCACAGAAAGACCCTGTTGGAAGTGCCTGTCTCTGTCTCTCGTGGAACAAGTAAATCAACTAAAGGCAATTTTATATCAGTAATAGTAAAGATGGCAGTTGACATTTACTGTTTGCTACACGCTAGCATCATGGCCAACATCTGACATGCATTGTTGTCTTTTAACTTCCCAAAAGGCGCATGGTCTTGCTAGAGAGAGATGGAGAAAGAGAGACAGAGAAAGAAGGAAAGTGAGAAAGCACCTCCCCTGGGAGATGTTCATACACTGCAATCCCTTCTCCTCCATGTCTCCCTCCATTTGGGATTTTAGGCATGCACGCACACATGCCTGGAGTGTTTCTCACGCTGCTGGGGCCGGGACTTGAACTGCATGGTTAGCCATGTGAGATCCAGCTGCCATAGGCTGGCCTCTGACATGCATTTCCAAATGCATCCTTTGCAACAGCTCCATGAGGTCGGTGTTGCTATTACTCTGTTTCACAGATGAGGAAGTCAAGCTTTGGAGTAATTAAAGTAACTGGCCTAGAATCACGCGGTGGGGATCTGGGCAACTCAGCTTGAACTCAGGGTTCCAGAGCCTTCTCTGCAGCCCTGGACTACTCACGAGCTCCACTGGTTCGGTAGCGCTCAGATGGGAGGCTGGGATGGCTGCTCCCGACCTCGTTGACAGCAATAACGCGGAACTGGTAGTTGACATATGGGGACAGCTGGAGGATGGCTGAGTTGACACTGCCCGGGAACTTGGAATGGTCATGCCAGACCCCTGGTTGGAACTGGTCCTCTTCAAACTGGACGACGTAGTCTGGGTGGGCACAGAAGATGGCAGTTTTGGGAGCTGAGTTCTGTGTTCTTCAAAGGCATTTCCTCCTTGGCTCCCATTACTCTACAATCTCCCTCGCACATAGACATGTGGGCAGCTCTTCCCAAGACACAGGAAGGAAGCCAGGCCACCATGCCTTCTGAGGAAAGGCCTGGACACTCAGCCAGGGAGACAGGGTGGGACCAGGAGCTAGCAAAGCCCTGGGTTTGGGGCTGTCACCACTTCCCCCACAGGTATTGGCTCACTGGGCCCTGGGCTGACCTGTGATGGGGCTGTTGTTATCGTCCCCCGGGATCCAGGTCAGCCTCACGCTCCTCTCAGCCAGGTCGGTGAGCTCCAGGTCCCGGGGTCTGTCTGGCCGTCCTGGCAGCAGAGGGAGGTGTGTGAGCTAGAGTCAGCCTGACCTGTGCTGGCCCCAGCACTGGACAGGGCCCTGAGGGGCTCGGGCACTGCTACCAGCAGAAACCAATCCCGGCCTGCCCTGGGACTCAGCACAGGGACCACTCTCTTCCCTCAGGGGCCAAAGAACAAACAGGAGATCCCCTCAATTCCACTGCCACCCAAAAGAACACCAAAGATGTGGAACCAGGAAATAAAGAGGGTCATGCAGGACACAGAGAAAAGCCGGGATGTATTCCAGGCCTACGGGCACCCTGAGGGTGCAAGCTTCTAGAAAATGTCGCCCTTTTCATGAGACCCATGCTCACAACAGCAAGGAGAGCTGACCAGGAGAGTGGGGTTTGCCTCATTCCCTTGGGTAATTACCTCCTACTCTGTGTGTCAGGAGGCAGGAGTTCAAGTAGGGGCTTGGAGTGCTGAGGACAGACAGACTGGGGAAGTGGGGAGGGGGCTGAGAAAGAGGACCAGGCTGGGGAGGAGGTGGAGACTCAGTCTAGAAGTTTCAGTGATGCAGAGCATGCTTCTAGTCAGGGGTAAGCACAGCCCCTCCCTGGGCTCTGAGCTCACTAGGATGGTTTAATGGCTGTAAGCACCATCCTAGCCGGGCAATAAGGCCATCCAGCCACTGACCGGCAGCCAAGGGAGCAGGGCGGGCAGTGGGATGACTTCTTCCACCCTGGCTCCCTGCACCAGCCCTCTCCATATTTGGGCTGGTTTCCGGAAGGATCAGGTGAGACAGAGGCCCGTGTTCGTGTGTGCGTGCATGTCGGGGAGGGTACATACTATAGGTTAATGACAGTTGGAAGGGTGTGGGCTTTCCTGGATGGGCTTCATACACTGTGGGGTCACTGGGGGTGGAGAACGGGCCTGCCCAAAGGAGCAGTGAGCATGGCCAGTGGTAACGGATGGGGGAAACAGCCGCAAGACTGAGCTCAAGCTGTGAAAGGAGCGGGGCGCCCAGAGTAGGGTCTGAGGGGCTCAGGGAGGTGGAGGTGGGGCACCTGGGTGGGGAGTGTTTTCCAGGAGCCTGTCCACTGGCCCTTCCTTCTTCTGGACTCCAGCCCCAGGGGCCCAAGAGGGCCCGCGATTAGTGTGAATTACCTTTGGGCAGGGCTGCCAAACGGTTAGTTGGAGTGGCCTGATCAGCTGCAAAGGTAAGATGGGTTATCCAGGTTAGCAGGTTATCCAGGGGTAAGGCATTCTGGAAGGACAGCTGCCCTTGGGCGGAGGTGTTCCAGGCACGGCTTCACCCCCACTTCCACGGAGAACGCCCACCCTCACAGAGGCCGTCGGTGTCTCCTCTGTGGCAGGGGCTGATCCTCTGCTTCATTCTTGTCCTAAGACCATCGCTGTGCCTGGGCCCAGCATGCCCAGCAATTGTGCCTCTCCACCATGGAAGGGACGAGAGCGCACCGAGACTAGCGGTGCAGGGTGCCCAGAGAGAGGACGGAGGTGAGGAGGGCACAACGAGAGGCCTGCTCTCCTGGGAGGGAGACGCCCCCTTCCTGGGTTTGGGCTGGCTTAGTCCCAGTCCAGCCTGCACACAGGACAGGGAGACACGGAGCCCTCTTACGCAGTGCGGCGCCTGTGCGAGATGCCACACAAACCCAAGGACAGGGCGGGAGGGGAGCGAGGGCAGCAAGGCTGTTGGGAGCACAAACCAAACTCAGTCTTGTTTAATACTGGACGGTTTTAATCGGCTTAGTGGCAGTGTTAGGAAGGAGGTAAAAACGATCACAAAAACCCCTCTCCACTCTTTCTACAGCTACTGGGCACTCTTCAGCCAAGATCTGGGGGGCTAATAATTCCACTCAGGGGGTACACTGTCCAGCATAGCTGGTTCTGAAAGCCAAAGCTTCCAGATGTCGAAAAGTGAGGGATCCCCATGCCCAGGTGGCCTCTGGCCACTACGGCAAGCGTCCTGGGAGGCGTCCGGATAGGGGAGGCCTGTGCCGGTGTGTGCAGGGGCAGTTACCTAGCACGGTCAGGTAGGCCTTGGCCAGGTCTTGGTCCAGCTCGGTGCTGGCGACGCACGTGTAACTGCCCTGGTCCCGCTCAGCCACTCCGAAGATGGTCAGGGAGTCCTCTTCCTTCTTCATCCTGCAAAGGGACCGTGGAGGAGCTGGAAGAGGGCAAGGGAGTGCTGGATTCTGTCTGATCCCCTCTCTACAGTGTGGATCTCGAGTCAGAAGGAAGAGGGAAGCAGCTGGGGACCCCTACGGCTCCTGCTGGGGGTCTGAGGATCCACCCAAGGCCCTCGGGTCACCTGGAGTAGTCACATACTTGATCCGGGAGGGAGGAGGGAGGACCAAGTGGCCCTGGACTATGTCCTCTGCCTTCCTGTCCCACACCTGCGTCTGTGCCGTCACCGCGCTGGCACCCCTCTGGGATTAGGACACTGGGTCCACCCCCTGAAGGACAAATGAGGGTCCCTTCTTGTCCCATATTTGTAACTCTGCTGTCAGCCCAGACTCGTGTCCTCTGCACCCAGGCCTGGCCCTGGCTGCTCTGAACTATGCCCCATCTAGGAGAAGGCACCTCAGGGCAGGATGGGACCTTAAAGGTGTCAGCAACCATGGCATGCCAGGATGCCAATGCCTGCCTGCAGGTGTGCCTTCTGCGAAGTCAGATGATGGCTGGAAACAGCTGTGCCAGCCCCAGCCACATCCTGCCTTTCCAGATGGGAGAGACGACAGGAGAGGTTGGAACCAGCCATTCTCAACCCTGGCTGCTCACCAGAAACTCTTAGGAGGAAATTTAACTACTCAGGGTCAGAGTCCTAGCCCACACCGATAAAACCAGAACCTGGGGGAGGGCAGAGGCAGGCACAGTAAGGGCTGAAAAGCATCACTAGCTGCAAGGGGGGAGTTGCTCAGGCCAGCCCTGCCCTCTACTGGAGAACAGGAGTACTGCACACAGGGCGGGAGGATGACACAGGAAAGGGGAGGCCCGGGTTGTAGAAAGCAAAGAGGAGCGAAGAGGGGCAGAGAAGTGGAGGCAGAGAGGAGTGAAAGAGAGGGCAGCAGGGGCTGATGGGGCAAAGGGAGGAGGGTGTGAGGGTTCCCCCCAACGAGGTAGGGAGCTGTCCATTACCCCCTCCTTGGTACACAGGTTCCCTATCCCGGGCTCCTCCATGTGTCATCAAGAGCAAGGGAAGAGAAAACGCCCCTCCAGCTCGCTCCCGGGAGAGGACGGGGAGGACCGGAAACCTGTTGCTAATGTAGAGAGGCCCGTCGTCCTTCAGCCAGGAGATGCTGAGTTTCAGGGAGGGGTCGTGCTTCACGCGACATTCCAGCTGCACCGTAGTGCCCCTTTTGGCCACCTGGTCTTCGGGCATGCGGTAGATCCTGGTGGGGTCTGCGAAGAATCCCAGGGGGCTGTCACTGGCCTGTGCTCTGCCCAGGACCCCGATGGGGCCACATGCACTACACACTTGACCTTGAGGCCTCGGACCAGCCGCAACAGTGCAGAAAGATTACGCAGTTGTAGGAACGGAGGGAGTCCTGGTGTGGGTAACCCCAATGGTGAACGACCCCAAATCCTATCTGGCTCAGGGATACAGGACAGTCCTTCGGGGGTGACGGTGGGGAGCAGGTTTCCCCTCCATTTCCTCTGCACCGGGACGGTACTGTAAGCTGCCTGGTGTGTACAGCATCAGCTGGAAGCCCGGGGAGGACGTGCAGACCCTCGGGGTTCAACATTAGATGTGCTGTGTTTTCTTGGGTGGCCTCCTTACCCCTCCCCGAGCTCCCCCCGCGGACCCTTCCTCTACCTTTGACCTCCAGGCGCACTTGGTTTTCGGCTTTGCCCAGGATGTTGGTGGCGACGCAGGTATAGATGCCCTGGTCTTCCTTGCGGATCATCTTTATTTCCAGACTGCCGTTCTCGTAGACGTGGTAGTTGCCACCATCCAGGTTGCTCCCTTGCCCATTCTTAAACCTCACAACAGAGCAGCACACGCGGCTCTGAGAAAGGACCTCGCCCGACGGAGCAGGGAGGCGACCGACCAAGGGGTGCAGAGGAGCCCCACGCGAGGAGTCTGGAGCCCTGAGCTTTGTGGGCCTGCCTCCGCCCGCTAGTCCCCGGTCTCGGCACCCCTGGGCTTTGGTTTCCCTTCTGTGCAATAAGGGGAGCGGCCTAAATGATCAACCAAATCCCTCCTCGCTTTGATTCTGTCAGGTTCCCAGGTCTCGCTGAATAGCCGTGATCACGAGAAAGGTGACAGACAATCCCTGTGGGGAAGGACCCAGGCCCTGGGAACTTACCATCGGAGGGTGGGGATGGGAGATCCAAAGAATGGGCAGTCCAGTCGTGTTCGGTTGTACAGGATCACCCTAATAAGCTGGTTCCGGGGGGACAGCATCCGAGGTGGCACATCTGCAATACCCAGAGAACCCATCTCGGGCTCCGCGTCTTCCCCTCGGGTCTTGTCTCTACTCACCTTCCCCTTACACTGCTTTCCAGCACCAAGACACCTTCCCTTATCAACCCCCCACCCCCGCCCAGAAGCCCCTAAGGATTCGGTTATACACCTGCCCACAGCCTACTCGACATCCGATCTATCTTTGGCAAAGGGTCTCCCCCAGTTACCCAGCAGGTTCTGTAGCTCCCCCATTCACGGCCCTAAGGCAGCTCCTAGGGACCACCTCCCTCCATCTTCTCCCTGTTCTCAGAACCATTTCCCACCCTGAGAGCCATCCAAGAACCCAGGGAGAGTCCACGAGGACACAGCAGGGGATGAAGTGGACCACCCTCTCTCAGCAGGA